TTACAAGTTAGCTCTCGTCAGGAACTACCATGTCAGGAGCTACCCAGCCAGCAAATAACGTTGAAATAACGTTGAAATATTGTTGAAACCTAACGTTGAATTAACGTTGATCTAACGTTTAGAATGAAAGTTTTTTTCAACGTTGATTTATCAACGTTAAATCAACGTTAGATTCAAACGTTATATCAACGTTGATTCAACGCGAAAAAACGTTACAACAACTTTGAATTTGCGTTGATACAACGTTTAAAATGATAGTTTTTTTTAACGTTGATTTATCAACGTTAAACGACTGTAAATCACCTTTTCACCATCAAAACGTGCTATGTATGTCCAAATGTATATATGTATGTAAACGTGCTATGTGCGTCAAAATATGATCACCATCAAAACGTACTATGCATGTACATTAGTGTTGCTGTACATTATCAAGGTATATTATGGATATTAAATCTATTCATAACCTAAACTTAGACTATTTAGAACTTTTTCAGTTTAGTTTAGTTAAAATAGCTAGGTATGATTAAAGAAAGAGATAAAACTTGTTTTATTCAAAAATACATATTCAAATATTACATATGTTTACATGTAATTAAATAAAATCTACACAAATTTCTTCTCTTTTCCACCACCTTTTTGAAATAAAGCGTAATTTAGAAAGTCAAACAATGTTCCATTAACCGAGGTTCCTTTTGGTCCATTGAATACAATAGAAGAAGCTGTAAATAAAAAAAATAAATTAAAAACAAAACAAAAATGGAAGATTTAAAAAATAAATAATGAATGGAAAAACGTTATAACTTATGAAGGTATATCTTTTTCAACTCAATATAGATTAGTGTTCTTAAAACATATTTTTCCACCTTTGCCCTTTATATCCATGGAGGCCATATAACTTTTCGAAAATACTCTGAATTTTTAAAAAATAATATAACTGTTAGTTGGTTATTAATAACATTTTCAAATATTTAATTTAAATAAAACAACCTTTTTAATATATTAAAAATAAATAATTTTTTTTTTTTTTTTTTTTTTTTTGTTCTTTTATTACATGTAAAATAAGCATTTCGTTACAATATTTCAAATACAAATATATAATAATAAACTTATATATAAATATAATGGTCGTTATTAGAAAATAAAAGAACGCGGGGACTCGTAGAAGACCATACGGTCTTGTCGTCGAGAACCGCTAAGAAATGTTCGTGTTAAAATTTAAAAGATAATTACAAGGTTAAAAAATAAAAATAAGTTAACAAAAGTAAGAAACTTAAAATAATCCATAATAAATACAAAATGCGTTTTATCTATTATATATGTAAATTATAGTTGTTAAGGATACACATATACTTTTTATAAGTTCATGTTTAAATAAATGGTAAAAATAAAGATCACAAAAAATATCAGAAGTATATTGTTAAATCATCGATTGCAAAAATGAGTTCTTTAAGCTTTTGTTTAAAAGAAAAGTAGTTACTTTGATTAATAAAATCCTCAGTAAAATTTTTTAAAACTATTTTATTCCATAAGAATGGTCCGCGATAATCAATACAAAATTTAAAAAGATTTGTTTGAAAATTGGGCTGCTTAAAAAAATTATTATTGCGTAAAATGTATTTATTTTTATTTTTTGATGAATACAAATTATGGAAAGAAATCGGGGATGAATTGGTTTTACATTAAAACATAAAACAAAGAATATTAAAAATATTAATCTCATATATATTAAAAACTTTCATTTCAAATAAAAGAGGCTTGGCATGAGTATAACGGTCTTTAAAATATATAAGACGTGCTACATGCTTCTGCTGACAATAAAGAGGTTTAAGTTTGTTTTTATTTGCACTACCCCAAGCAATGTTTGCATAGTTTATGTGGCAATGAATAAATGAGTGATATAATTGTACTAAAATTTGTTTATTTAAAACATTTCTCGCTTTGTACAATATTCCTATACTTTTTCAAATTTTACTTGATAAGTTTTTAATGTGATTTTTCCATGTAAGATTTTCATCTAAACAAACTCCTAGAAAATTAGTTACTGTTACTTTTTTAATTTGTATATTGTCAATAACAAGTGGAGGCATGTTAATTGGCAGTTTATGTTTTTTGGTAAGAGGATGGAAAAGAATCCATTTAGTTTTATCAATGTTCAGGGATAGTTTGTTTGTTTTAAACCAGTCAGATATTTTGATTAACTCGATGTTCACGTTATGAAATAAAGTAGGAATGCTTTTGTGAGACATAAACAAATTAGTGTCATCAGCAAACATAATTGTTATTAAATTCGAGGCTTTGTATAGATCATTAATATAAATAAGGAAGAGAAGAGGTCCTAATATGGATCCTTGGGGAACTCCACATGTAATATTTAACAAACTTAATGAAAATTATTTATCAGCATAAACAAATTGTTTACGATTGATTAAATAACTTTTCAACCATTTTAAAACATTGCCTATTATACCATAATATTCTAATTTTTTAATAAGACTTTGATGATCAATTGTATCAAACGCTTTCGCTAAATCAATAAATATTCCCAATGTAAATTTAGAATTGTTAAATGAGTCTGATATACTTCTTGTAAGCTGAATAATTGCATGCTCTGTTGAATTATTTTTTTTGAATCCATATTGCATGTTGTATAATAATTTGTTTATTAAAAGGTGATTGTATATTCTGTTGTACAAAATTCTTTCTAAAATTTTAGAAAAAACAGAGAGGATGGAAATTGGACGATAGTGTTTTACATTAGTTTTTTCTCCTTCTTTGAATATAGGAATAATTTTTGCTATTTTTAAATCATCAGGAAAAACTCACTGATTAATAGAGCATTTAAAAATTTGGAAAAGTATGTCTTTTAAAACGTCAAAACAGCTTATAATAATATTTCCGTTGACATCATCAGGACCAACTGCTTTATTTGACTTAAGAGCACTTTCAAACTCTTCAAAAGACAAATCAAAAGAATTAAGATACGAGTTTAGAGGGTCATATGTTGCTTTTATTAATTTTTTAGGGTTCGGAATTTTTTCGGCTAGGTTTGGCCCTGAGGGCAAAGATTGCGAAATTTTTTTAGTGTTACCAGTAATTTCGTTCATTAGTTGCCAAGTGCGTTTTGAGTTTAATTTGTATTTTTCAAGTAAATTAGTAAAATGTTTCTTTTTTGAATTTTTCCTTAGGCGTTCAAATAATCTTACGTAATTTTTATAAATAGTCTTACTCTCAGTTGTTTTTGATTTTAAATATTTGATATAAAGTTTTTGCTTAATTTTTGAAGATTTTAGAATACCTTTGGTAATCCATGGCGATACAATTTTTTTATATTTGTAATTTACTTCTACTTTGGGAAAATTGATGTCATAAATTTCATTAAAAATTTTAAAAAAGGATTTGCATATTAAGTTAATGTCTTCAGAAAAGTTTATAATGTCCCAATTAATTAACGATAGTTGATATTTAAAATATTCTAGGTTTTTATTATGAAAAATTCGTTTTTTAAATGATTTTTTTTCATAACATATAATTTTCGCATAAATATCAATTGAAAAAAATATAGGGAAGTGATCAGATATATCACTTTTAATAATGCCTTTTTTAAGCGAATTATTAAAAATATCGTTGGTTATAATGTTATCAATTAAGGAAGTTGTTGTTTGAGTAACTCTAGTTGGTTTGTTTATTAGAGGAACTGCTCCGTTTTCAAATAGGCCATTATAAAACCCATTAATGTCTTTTTTGACATAATACTCAAAGCAATTTAAATTCAGATCACCTAATATGTAAAGTAGTTTTTTTTCATGGTTGCTTTTATTTATAACACCATCTTGTAAAAATGTACTAAAAGTTTTTATTTCGCCTGTAGGTGGGCGATAACAACAGCTTATCACAATGTTTTTAGTTTTATTGTTCAATATTTCAATTGTTAAAACCTCTTTATTGACATCAGAAATACTCATGTCATGCCTAATATAATACTGAAGGTTTTCTTTTACATAAATAATTAAACCACCGCCGCGTTTATTTGTTTTCCGTCCTAATGAAATCAAATTATAGCCCGGTATATTAAATTTATTATCTAAACTTGAGTCATTAGAACTACACCAAGTTTCAGTTATGCATATTACACTAAAAAGAGTTAAATTTTCCTCAAAACTATTGCAAAGATTTTCAAAATTTTTTTTTAAACTTCCTATATTTATATAAACTGCATTAAATTTATTATGCTCAAGAAATTCTTTTATTTCATAACTATAGAAACAGCTGCAGTTGCTTTGTAAAGCACCTGTTTCGCTAAAAAAACTTTGATCCGGATCGGACTCTTTGTTGAGTATAAAATCATTGAATTGAAAAATATCAAAATTCTTTAAGTGATTTGAATCCATTTTAGTATTTAAAAACAATAAAAAATTTAAGATAAAATAACTCTAATATAAAAGAATTTCTTAATTGTCGGGCGTTACAAGTTTATTATATACAACTTTAGCATATTTACCTTTGGCGATCAGATCTTTTGCTTCTTAATAATCAAAATATAAAACATTTATAGCATTGAAAAATAATGTGGCCACTTATTAATGGTTTAACGTTCATGTTTATACACTTATAGGGCTTGGACAGGGATCAAATAATGTCATTTGTTATGTTGAATAGCCCAACGGGCATTTGAACATTTAATCAACGTTTAGATAATGTTCGTTCTAAATGTTTAGATTTAATTTAGTTTCGATTTAGAACGTAGGTCAATCGAATGTTCCATTTAAACCATATCTAAATGGTTTGTTTTAAACGCTATTTAAACTCCATCTAAATCTTTCGTTTAAAACTTCGCGACGTTAAACTTTATTTTACGGCGCTTATTTAAAGAAGCATAAATAAATACAAAATATTGATAAACGAATCAAACTTTTCTTTTATTTAAGCTGCTTTAAATATGCACCGTAAAAAAAAGTTAAACGCTGAACGCATTATCTAATAACTCATAAACAAATCAAACATTAAACAAATAATTTTTTAAGTCTAAGATACAAGTAAAATCATTTTATTTATTAATATATGCATTATCGTATTCGTCATCATGATCGGCTCCATAATGATCATCGTCATCTTTGTTTGAACCGATTAAGCCTCTTCGTCTTAAGAATTAGAAAAAAGGGTATGCCCTTTTCTATTTCAAACTATACGGAAGGGAGCCATTCTAAGATGGAAATCAATGCACGATACCGTATTGCGGATACCGAAGTCATACAATCTCTTTTCTAAAAATAATAAAAATAACTCAATAAACATTTGGTAACAATTGACAGAGAACTTTTCTTTAAAACTCTGTAAAATATATAACATTTATATAATAAAAACCTTATTAATTTGCAGTTATCGCAGTTATGGGTTGATAAGTTGCATAACTGCAGGACAACTGCAGTGCCCTTCCTAAACATAGTAATACAATATTATATAGTATTCTATTACTTTATAACAATATCTGTACAACATATATATATATATATATATATATATATATATATATATATAAAGTTTGATAACTCCCATTATTCATTGTCTTGAGGAGCAGTAGGCACACTTAGTATCCTGTTTAATTGAAACTTTTTATTTAATTGAAAAGTTGTGGAGATACCGACAGTTTCACTACAATATAAATAAACATGTAAAAATAAAATTGTAATTCTTACACTTCTTAAAGTTTAAAAACTAATCAACAAAAATAATAATTAAAATTTATATATCAAAGTCATATGTATGTACTAACACGCAATTCAAGGTAAAAAGTAAGTATTACTTGATCAATCCATTAGATTGTACTTTGATATAGTAGTTATGTGGATAATGGTATTATAGAACTCAATTTTTGGGCTTACAGAAAAGGAGACTTTGAAAGTACTGATGGGTAAGCTATTATGTAAATAACTATATAGATATATTATGTATACAAAGTTATTTTAAATAAAAATTTACTAAAACATTGTAAATTTGATTTTAAAAAGTCTTGGTCCATTCTAGAGTCTTTTGGTAAAGTAGTCACACTTAATTTGAATAAAGATATCTTAGAATGCGATTTAATGCTTGAGACAAGGTGGCTGTGGAAGTGGTGATGGTTTAACTAAAATATAAATCTGAGTGTATATTGTCTGAGATATGTTCATTACAATTATTATTAGTCTTCAAAGATGCAAAGTAGGACAACTTACTTGCATAATCAATTGAATATACTTGCAGTACCACATCCATAATCTTTTTGTATAATTAAACATTTGTAACTTTTTTTTTTATACTTGAATGCATCATGCATGCATGCTATATTATAATACAGCATGCATGAATAATGCATGCAAGTATTTTTGGATCTAAGGTCTTCACAAACTTTATTTCATGTTTATTGTAACATCAAATTAGCTAACCTGTCAATATTCGTACCTTTTGCATTAACATTAACATAAAATTCTTCCTCAACTGAAAAATAAAAACTATTTTACTATACCGTAAAAATACTATAAAATATTATTTGCTTTAACAAGCGATTTATTCAATTTTTAGTGCAGTTTTTCCATAATTAACCATTTCTACTGTAATTGCATTAAACTAGTAATATTAAATCTGAAGAAATTGAAAAAAATAATAATTTAGATTAGAATAATGCACAATTATGGATTAATTATATGTTATTATTTACAGTTTATATATTATTAGTTTCTATATAAACATTAACAAATTAAAATGAAACCTTTAAAAGAGTTGTATAATCAGTACTTTTGCACTTTTTTGATATCTGCTGATTATCAATGCTTTCTTTAGTTTCTGATATTTAAAAGTTTTGCAATCCTCATAACAATCTGTAAAAGGAATAACAAAACATTTTATCCAAATCAATGACAAATAAATTTAAAAAGTAAATTATTTAACATTTTGTGAATAAAAATTATAATATCACAAACTAAAATAACAATTCAATAAAATAATAAGCTTTTGGTTCTTCCAACAGACTGGCAATATGACATTTTGCTAAAATGTTAACACTAATTTGGTTGAAGGTACATCAACACATAACATTAGCTTGTAACTAAACTTGTTAAAAGCATTTTAAATAAGTTTAGTCGTCTAGTTTTTTAGCTTTTTTTGCAGACTTTAGTTTTCCTAATTCCGAGGGACGATATACTTATACATACTATATATTTCAACCCGTTTAAATTTCAAGCTTGGTAGGTCTTTCATAACATAATAAAATAAATTAAAAAATAATGCTATAAATATTTCAATAGCTTTTAGATATAGAGCATAAGATAAAACCTAAACAATTTGAACTCTCATTTAACTAATTTAAACTTTAAAGACTCGAACCAATCATCAACGTACCTTTTAAATATAACAGGAATTACCTTTAATCTTACATTAATTTTTAAGCATTGAATTTTTATAAATAGCTTTTCAGAAGCTTGAGCAATTAGATTATGATTTAAAAGGTATATATCTGACAGATGTTCAACTATTAGAACCATATCTAAAAGTACAGAGTTAGCACTTTATCTTGTGATTACTAAAAGAATAACTATTAGTTTTAAAAATCACTGCAGTTTTATTTACAGAATAATCTTTACAGAAATAGCCATTAACTTAATTATTATTTTAGGAAAATCTAAATTTTAAAGAATTAAAAACGTCACAAAAAATCAACTTACCACTTGCATGTGTACTTGGCTGTTTCCTGCTGCTTTAATTGTTGTTGCAACTGACTAGACTGTATATAAAATATTAATTGAAATTAAACACACAAAACTTAACAATAAAAAATATATTTATGCGGATTTCAAAAAATTATGTAATATAGCTATATATATTATTGTTCAAACCATGTTAACTTTTCTACTAAAGAGAAAATAAATGATACGATATAATAATCATATCAGACATAAGTAAATTTATTTTCTCTTTAGTGGTTATCATATAGGAGTAGGAATAATACTTAAATTTTTAAAAATATTTTTTAGTTTACATTAAAAGCCTTCACTAAAACTGAAGATCCATTATATAAATATTTCAACCTTACAATTTTTAATTGGCACTGACTGCACTAAAAGTATAAATATTATAACATTGCTATTCGATCAATATAACATCTATCATAAACAAATAGATTTTAGGTCTTAATATAAACAAAAAATAATAATTTTATTTAGTTATTTAAAAAGTAGCTACGACTTAAAATGCATAATTTTCCTCTAAAACGTTTAGAGAAAATTTATGCATTTTAAGTAATATTTAGCATTGTTAAAAACCAAACAGAAAAAACAATTTAAGAAGTAGTTTAAAAAGATGCTGACATTGCTACTTTTTTGAAACTACTGCTACTTTTTTGAAACTGCTATTTTAGTAACTATAACTAAAAAAAACAATTGCCAAAATATATTGTTACTGTACTTAAAATTACTTTTAATCGCTCATACAATATTATCGAAGAACTTACAGGACTTTTTAACTCCTCCATTAGCCACAATATAATACTAAAACCAAATTTCTTTTATTTTTTCTAAATCTTTATTACATAATTTAAGATTAATAAGAAACTCTAATTTTTAATCATAATGAAAGATTCAAAATGTCCGACACATTTTGTAAGAAACTAATTTAATTAAGGTAGTTCCGTACGGAAATTGTTTGATTTAGCTTTTCAACGCAAATTAAATATTCAGAACACATTCAGAATAGATTCCTAAACGTTTAGATCAACGTAAATGCCATCTAAACGTGATCTAAACCAATTTTAAACCAACAAATGCCTGTTGGGAGCATGCATTTTCTAAAGCAATTTTTTACAATTCTATGCACTTTAAGGCGTTAACCAGTTTTGCAAATCGAGAATGGGTATTTTGAACATTATACATCCATCAAAAATTAAAAAAGGAAGAATTAATGAGGAGCTTTGATCAAATTTTTACCTCTTTAGACGATAATAGAGGATTTTAGAAGTGGTTTTAAAAAAAGAGGACTTTAGAGGATTTTAGAGGAGCTGCAGACACCCTGATTATAAATGAGGTAATTCCACCAATTAACTGTAATTGATTTATCTGTAAAAAAACATGAAGTAAATCTAATACTATGCTTGTGGAGATATATTATATTGTGGGGAACAATCCAAACCACACAAGTGGAAAATTTGCATCCAAGTTTACACTTGTGTGCAAATCTTGCATCCACTTGTCAACATTCTCATTATCACATTTTTCTTTTGTAGTTGTGAATTTAAAATTTTCACAATACTGTTTGCTTTCTTTTAGAATTGAAATAGTTATACAAATAGTTATATATTTTGTATCAACAAAAAAACTCTTCTTACAACATTATTTAAAAAATAATAATTGTAATATATAGATGTAATACCTGAAGAGAATTTAGTTTTTATTTGTATAAACTCAAGCCAATTCTTCTCTGCATTTTAGTGCAGTCAATGCTTTGGTACCTGGAAGCCGACAAACAGTTTTAACACTAATCCAATTAGATGGAATTACTTCTTGTAAATCTTCATTCCAAACAGCTCCTTTCCGCACATTCGATTTCAAAAAAATTACATGAACTAATATAAAATGAAGAAACCATAATATAAGTGTACTAACAGGCCTAATTAAACTAGCTAAATTTGAACATTTTATAACTATGATACTTGCAAAACAATAATATTAGTAGACATTATAAGCAAAGATAAGATTTTCTTTATTTAATAAATTTATTATATTTTAAACTCATTTTTATTAATTTATTTATTACTCTATTATTCAGCAGAGTTCTGAATATATTATGTTCAAATAACTTAAAACTCAATAACAAAGACAAATGATATAAGAATACAAGGTTGCTAAAACATAAACATCTACATAGGATAATTATGGAATATTGAAAAAAATAGAAATACAAAAAAACAAAAATACTCATTATTAATATAAAATATAATAGTATAATATAAGGTATATTATAATATATGACACAATAATATCTACTTTTAATTAAAATATAAAAACAACAAAAATTAAAAAAGAAAATATTTTGATAAATAATAAATTATCATTCAAACAATTTTCAAGACCAAAAAATAACTTGTAACTTATTTTTTTACTTATCTTCATCTAATAAACATTATTTATTTTTTACTCATATTCATCTAATAAACATTAATATTAATACCAATTTTAAACATTATTAGAATTTTTTTTTATCAAAAAATAAAAATATTACATCAGTTACTTTTTGGGCTTTTCTTATTTTACTTAAAACATCAACTCAATTCTAGGCTTTTTTCATAATTGAGTTTTAATTTGTAATGTTGAATTAACACTGAAAAAAAAAAAAAATTAACAGACAAAAAAAAAATATTTCTTTATTGAAATATATATAAATATTTCAATAAAGAAATTTTAGATTGATTTTTATAAATATAAATTTATATCGATCAATCTAAATTTTTTTCTTTTCCGCCACCTTTTCAAATGAAGCGTATTTTTAGAAGTTAGACAAAATGCCATCAATTAAAGTTTCAGTCGCTTCATCGTATTTAATAGAAAAAGCTGTTAATAAAAAAGAATTAGAAAAAAAAAAAAAAAAACACAAGGAGAAATTTTTGAATATATAAAAAATGAGAATAAAAAAGTTTTACATATCTTATAAAGGTATACCTTTCACTATACCATATAAATTAGTGCTCTTAAAGCATATTTCCACCTTTCCCCTTCATATTCATGGAGGTCACAAAATTGTTAGAAAATATTCTAAATTTTAATAGATAAGAGAACCGATATTAATTATGTGAGAACTAATATTAATTTTTTTTTTTTTTCAATTTAAATTGAACTCATTATCAAACAATTTTTTTGCTGAAAAATTTAATCCTTAAAATTCCTGAATAATTAAAAATTATTTTGATTACCTCAGCATTTTAAAGATATTCCATCAATTGCAATTGATTCACCTAAAAAAAACAACAAGTAAAGCTAATATTATTGTTTGAAATTTTAATTATCTTTATACAAATACTCCTCATATTTTTAAAGTGACTGATAAAAATGGATTTAATTAAAATCACTTCATTTGTATTAAAAAATTAATATTAAAGCCTTAATCATACATTATACAAGAGTATTTTGTAATACAATCTAAATAGTTGTTGCGATATGTAATTTTTTTATCCAAAATTTAGCTTCTGTAAGCTTTAGAAATTTTTTAAAGAAATTATTGACGAATTTGGAGCTACGGGTACTTATGTTTTTATATTGTTGTAATGTTTGTATTCATTCCCTGTTAGTTTCTGTAAGTCAAAATTTTAAGGTGTTTCCATAATAAATTCTGTTATATCTGAAATTTAGTGTTAGTCTAAATAATTTAATTTCTAAAATCTGTTTTGCATTGCCTGTCTTATAACATCTTTACTTGGAACAAAAACCATGTGGTTTAAAAGTGAGCTAGAAGCTTTCAACAATGAAGAAAATATTGCATTCACTAATCCTAAAAACATATTTAACCTTTCAGCAAAATCAGCTGTCAATAATCCAAGTATTAGAATCATTAAAAATTCATCTTTGCTGCATTACAATTATTTTGGTCCAAGTAGTTAAGGATTTTTTTAAATTTCAAAAAACAGAAGTAAATGTTTTTTTAATATCACTTTATCTTTTTTGATTAATGGTGATACTGCACTAACTGATGAAACACATTGACAGATGTAAAGCCAGTATAAAAGTCAAAAAATCTATTATTTTTAAAATAAATGTTTGTATACAAGTAAATTGCAATAACACGATTTGTTTGGATTATGTTTATATACAAATTTGCCTGTTTTCATAGTAATAACTGATGTGGTTGAAGTTAAATTTTCATATAAATCTTTATTTTTTTATTTCGTGCTGAAGTTCTTTTTTAAAGTTATCAATTTCCTTTTTTAATGTATCAAGTGTAGGGGAGAAATACTCCTATTCAATTACATAAACCCGTAATCGCGCCCCGTTTTGTATATAAATTTGTGATAATTTTACACTAAGTCATTATTGTTAACATCACGCGCAATTTAAAATCAAGTACCTGATGCGGAGATTGAGTTATATTTTTAAATTAATAAGAAAGTTTTTATTTGTCTCAATTTTTTCTTTGAAACAAAATTTTGTTTTAATCTTTTGAGAGGTTACAATAGTAAATAATATTTATAAAGCAACTTTAAAATATAATGCTCATTTTATTTCAAAACCACACTAGATTCTCATTTTCATAATAATTTTTCGGAAAGCCCTAAGTTAAATCTTCAATTTAATTAAGTATTCTATGATTTTATTTATAGCAACGCTATTAGCAACAATATTTTCCTTAACACAAATTCCATAAAAAGGGTTCTGTTAGTACTTCATTGTACTTCATATCAATGACATTGTAACAATGATTTGTAACTGTTTATTGATATTGTAATCATATCAATAAACAGTTACAAATGTTCATCTTAAATTATTAAAATTTGGTTAGGTGTCACTCATATAGTTACAAACTAGTCAAATGGGTGACAACTAAAAAACCTAAAATTCTCGAAAAAAAATAAAGAAAAGAAAGCAAAACAAAAAAAAACAAACAACAAATTAAAGAGAGAAAAAGAAAAGATTGTTAAACAAATAATAATGATATTTGTCGTAATTATAATAATACAAATTAATTACAATAATAATAGAAGTATCAATAATATTAAAAATAACAATACAGCAATAGCAAAGGTGAGAAGAGAATAAAGAATAATAAATCATTCGAAGAGTTTAGATAGGAACATAGTAACGAATTAGAGAAAGTATACTGTTAGCTCGTGTTAGTTTTTTTCTAAGATGGTACAGTTGATTATACCAAGATAGATTTTCACCAAGATATACTCCAAGATACTATATGTATTTCGACGGAAAAAGTTTTATTCCGTTAGTTTTAATAATATCAATAGTTTTTTGAGGGAATGAAAAATAATGTATTCAGTTTTATAAGCATTCAATGAACACACTGTTTTAAATCAATGTGTATGTCTAACTTTATGTGTGTATATATAACTTTAAAATATTGTGTATGTAGCCTTATATTATCTAACGGTGAATTGTCTTTATCTAGTCAATAAAAACTAAAGCAAATCATTGCCTAATAATTATCACAAAGTTAGCTAGCTTGTTGTTTTGAATAACAGTATTTTTAATAAACCATTTTTTATTATTATCATTATTTATGGGATCTTTAAAAAAAAAAAAATTGATGACCTGTTCGGAGTATCGGAAACACAGAAAATCAAAAAATATATTTTTCATAAACAGCCAGGTCATCTCTAAAAGTAAATAAAGTGTCAGCATAAATAATATTGTATACGTCACTAGGGAATCTGCATCAACATTATCTAGGAAGCTACAGTTAAGTTTGTTAATCAGAACTAAGGCTAAAAGTACAGATAACTCTAAATGTTATATCTTAATTAAATATATCTATTAAAAGTAATTGTTGATTTGGTTGGAACATGTTTCAATTGTTAATCAAAGATGTATATTGCCCATGAAATTGAATTGAATAAGGGGTATTTGCATTTTTCTGCAAAAACTTTCTCTATAAAAGAGAAAACTTACCCGCAGAGTACAATGCTTTTCTTTTTTTGGAAAATCGAAATTCTGAGAGCTTTAAATTAGTTTATTTATTTTTAAAAAAATAAGTGTGGTACAACCATAAAATATATTTATTTATATCTGAATATCACTAAACTAACAACTATAACTAAGGATAATTATAAATCGACCTCGCCCATCCCCCGCAGTCAGATACGCCGATTTCACGATCGCAATCCCAGCAGTATAGATCGCCAATGGTTCAACCAAATATTTTCAAAAAAACTAGGAAATATTTTTCTATCAAGTTCAATTGTTTTTTTATGTGCAATTTAGTGCAGAAAAACGTAAAAAAAAAATCAACACTTATTTATTAGTAAGTAAACAATAAATTTTATTAACGTAACAATTTTAAGGTGGAAAACCGTTAAGTACAAATATACATAAATTATTCAAACTAAAACATTTTTAAGAATTTTACAGAAAAATCTTTCTTTCATCCAAAACAGAACGTAGATTGTATTAAGAAAAGTCGAGAAACTGAGATAATGAGATAACTTTGGTTAAATCATTTTTTTCTTCTTAACCACCAATCGTACAAATCTGAAGATACTAAATATATATATATATATATATATATATATATATATATATATATATATATGTATATATATATATATATATATATATATATATATATATATATATATATATATATATATATATATATATATATATATATATATATATATATATATATATATATCTGGTTGCAGTACAATTTGTACTGAACAACCAGTATTTTCCAAATACAAATACTTGTAATTTAGGT